TCTCCTTTCCTTTCTCCTCAAGATCATTCGCTCCTTTGAAATTCCTAGTAGGTAATCATGGTCTGGAATCCAAGATCAAAATTGTCTTCTTCCTTCTTTTCCCTCCTCCTCCTTTCTTGTTCTTCTTCTTTCCCTCTCCTCCCCTCTTCTTCCCTCTCTTCCACCCTCTTGGAGAACTCACCTCATCTGGGTTCTTGCATGAAATTGGTGACAAATTCTGATTTTTTCTTTTTTTTTTTTTGGGTATGATAAAGAAATTCTGATTGAAAACAAGGGTCTATTTGTGTGTGGCATTATTTTTCTTATGGATTAAATTTTCATTGTTTTAGGTTGAAAGAAAGCTAAGGAGACAATTTATTCAATTTAAGTTTAGAGGAAGTGTCCTACTAAAACATTGATAATTTCCTTGGTTGGAAGGGGGGCTTGGGTGTTTGGTTTGGGATGGTTGGCAATTGTCCAGATGATTCGGATGAGAATGGAGGTGAGAAGGAAAATGGATCCAGTGAGGATAGAGACTAACGAAGTGTGAGAACTAACAGAAAAAGAATGTGTGTAATAGAGTGTAATATGATCAAGTGGAAGCAAATCATTGTCCTTTTAAATAACATAAACTTATGCAACCTAATTAATTCTAAATTTTGTTCTCAAATTCTGAATACCTCTATCATTATTCAAAAAAATACTGGATTAATTAAGAGTCTAAATCAATGTATTAAACATTTTAAGTTTAAATTATAAGACGAGAAGAAACAAATTTGAGAGAGAAAGGGTATTCCGACTAGACGTGCCAAAAAAATCAGAAAAGAAAAATCTTAAAGAATACAGATGAGGAGTACCAGCAAGCTAGCAGTGATTTGGGATTATATATGTTTACCCGGAATTTTAACGAAGACGTCCCAGATGCTGGGCCCACGGCCGTCGCCGTTGGCCATTCCCTCAACTTGATAAGCCGATGTCGCCGTCCCAAACACAAATCCCTTCGGAAAACTCCCTCTGCTCAGACCTCCAGTGTCAAAGCGCACCGTCTCGGGCCGCACGTGAGAAGCACCATTGAGCTCCGCCGTACCTGCAAGGAAATGGAGAGAAAGAACTGCCGTGAGGCAGTAGAGCATCA